GGGGGGGGGGGTTCCTTCATATACCTCACAAAATCCTCTCCTGTTCCAATAAAAATGATGCTACAGCTTTGAAATTTGAACGTGTGCTTAATACATGTTGTTTCAGCTATGGGAGCAGACAAATAGCAATCCAGCTGTCAGAAGAAATCTTACAAATATTTTAGTTCTGAAATCGATGTACTTTTCCAAGGCAAAACGTGATGCGTTGAGTTCGTACTTTTTCTTTCGTCAAGTTCCTCAATGACATACACATTGAGAAACTTGTCCTTCCACTATAACTACACTATCTGTGGTGCTACATCAGGAATAATGATATCTGTAGCTGTTTTTTCTATGTCAGCCCTCTACATTTTCATTTTTGAGCATAACTCGTGGCGTCATTTCGTAAGGCAACTTCGATTCCTCGTGACTTCTTTTAGTTTAGTTTTAGTAGAGGTTTTACGGCGCTCCCAACTGCAGAAGGTCATATGAGCGCCAGAAGATTAGAGGTGTTACAAGAGAGTAACAAACAAAAAAGAAGAAGGGGAGATAAGGACAATAATAGATGTTTGATAGGAAAGAAGAAGCAAACAACACCAGAGCATCCGCCAACCACCCACCTAGTGACTTCGTTGCTATCGGCCATTTTGGGGCCCTGGAACAAGCAAAATATTGTTCAATGTTTACTCTCTGCCCTGACCAATTCCCAGGCTGTGATCGTGCGTAATTTTGCAATAAACGGAAATCCCATGACACCTCGTGTTCTGTCATCATTTGTTCATCATTAACATGCACTGTGGCTCTAATTGAATCTCCCGAATCTTTATTTGCCCAAATTTTTAATGAAAATGGAAAGTTTTTCCTTTCTTTCACATATAGCTATAATGATACAAATGCGAACACAATGACATTCAGAATTTCTTTTTTTCTGTGATCCTCACCATTTTGTATGCTCTTCATTTTTATGTTTGAAAAGTAAAGAAAGAAGTGAAGCCTTGTCCTTGACAGTGTACTAAACACATGCCAACAAGCACCATACAACTGAACAAACACATCAGAATTCTAATCGCCAGCCATTTTTGGTGAGGGACTTTTTAGCTCTTTTGGCATAACGGCATAAGTTGCAAGATGGCTATATGACAAAGTTAGAAGGTAAATTACATGCAATAAAAAAAGTAGTCGCAACAGCTACAAACTCCTTCCAGCCCTCAGCCAATACCAGGAACGCCAACAAGGCCTTAAAAAAGGCCAGACATTTTTTCCCATCTAGCTTGGCCAAACTGCAAAAACTGCCATGTTTCCCTATCAAATTACTGGTAGACGGGAAGGTAATCCTTAACAATCACCCCAAACAAGTCGATCTAGCACTTTGGCACCACATTGCTTTAAAAACATCCATTCAGGAATCGACTTCAGGTCTGCTGCGTGCGAAAGTGAAGTGCCAAACAATTAGACCACAGACGCTGGTACCAAATCATCTTAGTTTTAGTTTTATGGCGCTCGCAACTGCATAAGGTCATAGGAGCGCCAAGGAGTGAATGTCAACAGAGAAGTCCAAAAGGGGAATCAGGCTTTCTCTGCTCACCTCTCTAGCCTCAACACCACAAAGTCTGCTTTCACTTTCAAGGCACCCTGGAAATGGCAGTTTAGAAGAAAGTGACACACATACAAAAGAATTAGAGGAAAATGAAGATAGTAAGGATGAGGAAAGAAAAAGCAACAGTTCCCCCTTATGTTGTTCCGGCAAATCATCGGCTGGCCCAACTTCTTTATAAGTGACATAACACCATTTCTGGAGTCCATAGCACATCCGTTTCTTTGTTCCAGACAAGAAAAGCACATTGACACAATAACGGTCATTTAGTGCTGGGGGGGGGG